AGTACAATTATTTCTTACAGAAGATGAAAGAAAATTTTCTGAAAACATTCTTGAGAAATACAAAAGACCAGAACTTGAAGAAAAACGGAAAAAAAAAAAAAAAAAAAAAAAAAAAAAGAATAGTTAATAAACCATATAGCCCAAAAACAATTGATAACAGAACTAATTTTGAGAAAAATATTTTTTCACTATAGCAGTGAAAGAATTGACAGTTATTTAAATTTCACAAGCAAAATGGAAATATGAAAAATTAAATGAGATATGTTTTGATTTTTTTTTAACTTCCCAGTGAATAAAAAATAATTGTTCATTAGATTTAGACAATTTAAAAGAAACAATTTTTTACTCGGTAATACGTAAATACCCATATAATATAAATTAATTGTCAATATGACATCAATTGATTGTATATTGAAAGTTTAAAAAAATTATCAAATACATTTAGATTCGAAACCAGTTATTTATGAATAATAAAGTTGCTTCATATATAAATCTTATGTTTAAATCTAATTCATGATTACAGTTCAGTTTACCCATACTTAAATTCCAATTTTAAATATGGTTAAACTAAACTGTTAACATTAAAAATGTAAACTCAATGTTAATGTTAGCAGTTTGGTTAACTGTTCATTCGATAAGAATATTTTATTGCTGCCAGTTACATTGATTGCTGGTGAGAGAAGCTTTAAAAAACTTTATATAATAAAAATCATATACAATCTTTAATTGGACAGGAAAAACTTTCAAACATCACTATTCTTTCTTTAAAACTTTAATTACATATTCAAGCAAACTTTAAAAAGAATTATATATGATTTTACTTCATTAAGGCTATATATATATATACATATATAATAATTTAATTTCTAGTAGATCTGAATATGTTATCTCCTTTGAAAATAAAGCAGTTAAGTTAGAAGTCTATTGAAATGAATTTACTCATCAGCATATTTAAAATTGAATGATTAAAATGGAATAATTAAAAGTGCAACTAACAAACTAGTAATCACTTAGTTGTTGGTTAAAATATAAAATATATATAAATAATAAAACTGTAAAATAAATTATTATTTTATTACTTTGCAGCTTTAGCGTAAGTATTAGACAATTTATTACTAATAATTACCTTATTTACTTAAATCTTAATATATATACATGTGTGTGTGTATGTTTAAAAAAAGGGAGGGGAAAAAACATAGTAAATGTTGTTTGGTGTAGATATTTGTTAGCTTAGAATGTAGTAGATGCATACTGAAGAGGAAGAACTCTGATTGCATAGTACGCTAAATGGTTGAATCAGTAATGAACAGCAAACTTGGGCGTCAAAGCAGATTAAATTATCATTTTTATTTCAATTGACATTTGTGGTCACAGTTCACTTGGCACTCTAATTGTGCTTACTTTCAGAACATTTACATTTTTAATACTCTTGCAGTAGGAAGACAGCACAGCTAAATTGTATCTAAGCAGCACAGAGGGTGAAGCTAGAGGTGAGCATTTATCCAATGTGGAAACTTACCAAGTGGAAGGTTGTGATTTAGGTTAAAAAAGTTTCAGTTATCAAAATTTTGAGCTCAAATTTCAAATAAACTGTGTCATCAGCTTTACGCAAACCCTGTGGCATAGATTAATCTAGAAAGGCATAGTCAGGAAAGTTATTACTACACTAAGACTACAGAGAGGAAATACCCAAATTAAAAATGAAGAATTAAGAAGTTATTACTAAATTAAATTATACAGCTGATTTAGGTATTTTTTATCTTACATTATATATATATATATATATATTCCAGAACAATGATTCAAAATTAGTGCAATTATTTTACGTTAATTACATTTTTATTCATGTTCTTTTTATGTTATTTGCTATTTATGAAAAAGGTTCTTTTTTATGTTTTTCATTTAAAATCTGTAAATAATCACATGCATCTATTTTTTTAACATATACTATCCCAATTAAAAATATTATAACAGTACTATGATGTAAAATGATTTCGTTTGATGAATAATAAAGTGTACGAATATAGTTAATTCAACTATGTGCAAGGGTGCATATTTGCCTCAGTGAAAAAATATGCATGCATGGCTTTCAGTAGAACTACGGCTGTATGATGCTTGAATTATCTTACTTGGATTATTTCTCTTACTCTGTTAAGCTAGAAAGGTTATAGGTTGAAAGGTACCTAGAAAGGTACCTGGTTATAAGGTTGCAATTAGATTTGTTTTGCAAATTCAACTAAGAGCCCAAGAAATTTTAAAAAGAAAAAAAGGGAAAAGAAAGAAATTTCCTAGCAAGTTTCTAAGGAACTACTCTTATATACACCCTCACTTGGTGACAAATTTCTCATCAAATACTTTTGGTGAGAAACTCCACGGTGCCATATTACTATCTAAATTTCTTTGTCTACATTTCGAACTTTAAGCCTAAATTGTCTCCAAAAACGCAAATTTCGTACTTGCAAAACCACGTTATGAACACACAATTTAAACTAAAAACAGAAACAAAAACAAAAAATTTAGACAGCAAAAATGTAAAGTTTCTAACCAAAAATATTTGACAAGAATCCATGTACATAGCAATATGTTTTAACTTAAAAAACATCACAGAATTGAACAATCTATGCACTGAAGGAATCTACGAATTAAACATAACTAGCTTAAATAAATTAACATAACAACAATAAATTTCAAAGAATATTATGTATATAGCATTCTGTTTAAACTTTAAAAAACATCTACAAATTGCACAATTTAGGCATTGCGCACTAATCAACAAAATAAACTAAAATAAATTTTAAACAATTCAAAAAACCAATGACAGAAATTCATACTAAAAAAAAAAAATAATGAACATAACATTCTACAAAACAAGAACAAGAATAAAATAAAATGCACTTACGATGAATGAATGCTTCTTCGAACATTAGGAATACTAATTTCAAACATCACCAAAACAATTTCACCATAAATTTGTTAAAAGCATCTTCTACCGTTTCAGAACAACAATGGAAAAATATACAAACCACCAAATAAAACACGAAATCGCATTTCCAATTATAACGATTTTTAGGCAACGTAGCTATAAAATGCCGCCACGTAATCTTTATCGTATTTATACGACAATACAGACTCACTATTCACAAAATTGATACTATCTTTCACAAATAAATGTTCAAAACCTTCTTCTCCTAAATACTTGTAGAATTTCCAGCCCCCTGAAAAAATAGTTGGGTACTTTTCCGTTTCGCTGGCGCAAATCTGCCAAGCACACTTTATTGGCGACAACATACAGTATACACATAAAAAATGTTAACATATGTTAGTTCTAAAGAATTTTTATTTTGAAAGCATAAACATTTTAATATTGTTAAAAATTTTGTAAAAAGGTAATAAATTTGTAAAAAGAGATTAATTTAAGAATTTACTATGCTTTCATGGTACAACATCCTAATTTGCCGTTTCATATCACGTGATCCCAAGTGATCTCATATCACGTAAATTACGCTACAAAAATCCAACTCTCTCAGTAATTATCTACATTAATTTCAAGTTAAATCTTAATTTGGAATACAAGTTTAAATGCAAGAATTATTTCAATTTGTACAAATAGATTACTCAGAAATTATGTAAAACCGCAGTGCTGTACTTCGCTAGAATATTCACATTTGAACTGATGAATTTAACCCTTGACTTTTTCTATATTTTCACCTTTGGGTGAGCAGTGTGACTGCATCCTAACCAACTTAATTACTGTGAATGGCCTTAGGGCATAAAATTGAACTGTCTGGTAAAAATTCTATGTACTTGTATGCCAGTATTGAAAGAAACAATCAATCTGATAAAAAAATGGCTGTTACTTATGTTGAAAATGAGGCGTAAAAGGTTGCCAGCAAGGATATTCCATTTGGCATCAGTTGTACCATTTTTGGCGACTTCATTGTTTGTGCTGGCAAAGTGGAAAAATACCAATAGTTGTACCAGAAACGCGACTAAAATTTTGTCATTGCATCATAAATCACTTAAATACCACACGAACGAACTAGCAACTGAAACCACTACAGTTCCACGTAATAAGGGTTGCCATAGAAACCAACATCGCCCCCAAAACCATGCAGAACACGCAATCCTGCCAAAAACCAAGCACATCATATCAAGCATCCAAGCATCTGCACAACATATATCACTGCATTTGCCGAGTTGAGAGCACATATAAGAATAGTATCATTTCTAATTAAATTTTGTATATATTGAAATTACAATACCTTGTAATTGCCAAAAACCAGTCTGCAAGTTATCAGTTTTTTATTTGTAAAATTTCAAACTGTGGCTTAAAATTTAGGATTTTTGATTTTATTTCCTTGCAGTTATTCAAAATGTTTAATGAAATTTCACTCAAGTAACTGTTGTTAACAAAAACTCGCCAGTGAAGGTTAGCTACACATTAGTTAATAGAGTAGCAGAAATTAAATTTTATAAAATACCCATCTAATACAAATGCTAATAAATCCACTTAATATAATAATTTTAAAAAATTCATTTGCAAAATTTTAGTTACATAATTTATTACAAAGACAAGAAGTTTTCCATAATTATTTTTAAAAGTCTTAAATTCTAAACAAAATAATTACTTTAAGGGAAAAATACCCATTCTTTAAAATAAAAAACAATACATTTTGCATTACGTAAGCACTACACACTTTGCATTATGTAAGCACACTTTTTTCTGTTGCCAGATATATTAGTAATATTTTTTTAATAAAACAAAATAACATTATTTTCCCCCCTGATTTGAAGATTTTTTATACAGACTACTTAAATGCTGATAATATTATATACTTCCCTAAAAAACAGTGAGGTCATTAAGGAAAACACAGTTTATTCAATTATCATTTTCTGTTCTTAGTGTTAACGTATAAAATGTACTATTTTAAAACTTGATTTCTAAAATATTTTTGTATTAAAAAAAAAAAAATTATAAATTTACATAAACCAAAAAATACCTCATCATAGTTTGAGTCATTTAAATCTTCATCATCGTCATCCTCTTCATCTTTCTGTTGCATTTTTTTTCTTTTATTTGGAGGTGCATGTCGATCATCTCTGTGAAAAAAGGTCTTACTTTAAAAAAAATCAATTCTGATGTCAGGCACTGCTGTTAAGCTAAATATATCACATATCAGTTCTAAAAACAATAAAAAGGACCTTTATTGTGTACTATTGTTGATTTCAGTGGGTTTTGTATGACCAAATGGGGAAAAAAATGTTTAGCTCAATCTAAACAATACATGTACAAGAATGAAACTCATGCAATTAGTTAGAAAAGAAGAAATTTTTTATACTCATTTACGGTAATACAGTAATTTTTTTTTTTTTTTTTAATATTTGTTGGAGATAAGTCAACTCAGATTGTAAAATTACTAGTATCACTTTTAAGCATCATCAGTAAATATTCTCCAAATAATAAAGAATATTAACTATATGCTAAAACCTTCAGCTCCTTTCATAACAGGTGTATTTGTAGTCATACCAAAATTATATAAGACCTCAGCTTTTAACTGAAATATTAACTAATCATTTTAGAATGCTATCAGTGCTTTGGAGAAAAAAATAAACTGTCCAGGCCACCATATCAATAAATGAAATACCTTCAAAAATAATATTTGCTAAGTTATAATAGACTAAACATTTGCTAAGTTATATATAATAAACATTAATTTATATATACTTGATATTTACAAACAAATATTTACGACAAATAATATTATTTGTAAGTTAGAATTGAAAAACTTTCTTTTTGTTCAGCAAAATATAAATAAATAAATATTTTTGTAACAAACAGAGAAATGAAACTACTTACGGAACATCACTAGCATCTCGAGCAGGACCAATATCAGAACGGGTTGTAAAGCCAGTAGCGCTGAAAAAATAAAAAAATATAACATTTTATAACTTAATCAAAATATGAAAGAATGCATACTTTGTCATTTCTTATATAAAAGGAAGTTGAAATACAAAATAATGATCAAATTTAATTGGAACAACAAACAGTTATTACAAAAATCAGTATATATGTTATTTGCCAGAATCTATTGATACATTACCAAAAATACCATACCTGACTCTGATTCTTGCAAGTGTTTGACAAGTTTAGAAATTGTTGGGATTCCTCTAGAAAGATGAGATTTTAATTTTTCCCCTTTTTCTTTTCTTGTTAATGTTCTTTGGTGAAGGGAAGTTCTTTGGCTAAGAGAGTGGTCTTTTTTATTCCTACACCAACTTAGGTACAGCAAGTGCACATAGGCATTGAATCTTTTTTTGGGGGGATGGAGAGCTCCTTTTTCCATTGAAAATTCTCAGGGCAACATTTGTTTGACTTTGTTAATTTTTATTACATTTCACATGATGCATTTAGTAGATTTACTGAGAAATGAGGCAGAAGCAATTTGTTCTTTCCAGGTATAATAGTATTTTACCAATAAAATCATCAGTGTTGTAATTTTTATGTAATCAAATTGTACACGATGGAAAATATATAATGGAAATGCAAACTATTAGAATAAGAACTGGGAAGTGTGTGAAGAGAAGTCACTTGCCTTCTTACTAGCAAAGTTCATACGAAGGCATAGATAAAATGAGGAGAATAATCTGATGCAATTTCCAAAAATTTTTCCCTCTTTTACTTATAATAAAAGGGCCCTATAATGAAAATTAAAGACGGTGTCGAAAAAAAAAAAATCAAGCACCTAGCCCCAGCAGAAAATATTCCCTCTGCAAGCAAATAGCTGATTAATTGGATCACTCTATTACTGAACCACGCATGAAAAAGCAATGATAGAACAGTATGCACCGAGTCTAATAAGGCTACCTTAGATGAACATTCCCACTCGAATTCTGAGTGAGTGAAACTACATGTAGCATTCCCACAGAAATTCCTTCAGTTTCCTGAAGGTGGAATCGCTTTCCACCTCAACACCTGTGGAAATGAAATTAAGCCTACCAGTCACCATTTGACCACAACTTAGATTCATGTGGAAAGAACTAAAATTAATTATCAATGAAAATAACAACAAAAACTTTACTGGCAGCTTAAAGCATAATGAAATTTGGCTCCTTTCATGATAGGGACACTAAAGAAAGGGCCCTGGATGATCTTCTCAAAACAGAGACCCAGTTTTGCACAGTCCGTACAAAAGAGCTAACTCCCGTTAAAAGTCATTATCATTGAACTATTTGAAGATGAAATACAAGATTCCATAAAAAATAAGCTTAATAACAAGGGTTACCTGTCATTAAGTTGAAACAATTTTCCAGAAAGACCACAAACGAAAATGTGGAACTCTCATAGTGACAAAAGCAACAAGATTTACCATGAAAAATCCCTCCCATCCCTCTCGAAAAAAAATCAGAAAGTGAAGACCTGAAAAAGAAACTGTAGAGTCATTAGGTGTCTTTCTTTTTTTGGGGAGGGATGCAGAAGAGGTGGAAAATGTGTAATGTCCTTGTAAGGTATATCCTAATTTTATTACAGTTTTTTTAAGTTAATACCACTTTCCTATCAAAATGCAAATGTGACTTTAAGACAGAGAGTTAGGATTCCCAAATAGCGCACGTTTGCCTTTTGGCTACGTCTCTCTAACTGTCACTATGTTCGGCCATATTACGTGCCTTTTGATAGCTTTGCTGGCTAAGTTAATATCAAGGGCTAACTAGTTGGCTAAATCTTTTTAGTTAGTCATTAGTTAAGTTCTTATTTCTTATATTTTGAGTTTCAACTCAAGTGGAGGCTTTATTGTTTGCCCTGAGAAAAGGGCATCTGTTAATGTTTATTTGGTGCAAATAAAGGATAATTAACCCTTCCTGAGTTTACGTTTCTGTCCTTCGACTTAAGGGATTATTTAGCTGTTCACTAGGTTCCTCCTCAATACTTATTTTGATAGAATAAAAAGGAGGAACTCTACACCCTCGCTGGGACTCGAACACTACACCTGTCAAATATGCTTCCAATTACACCACAAAGGCATAAGGAAAGGTGAAAGAAAATACCTTATAAATCCAAAAATCTGTTACATATGTTAATGCTTTGTCCACGAGCAAACCTAATGCAATAATCAGCTAAAATGTCTTTAGTGCTCTTAGGACCATTTATCCTACACCTGCATGCTCTCGAGAGATACTAAGTACTTGCCTGCATCAAATGTAAGTCCTATTGTTTTGTTACTTCACCCAAATGCCCGTTTTACCCCAGCAATGGGCATAAAAATTTTAAATTCCCCCCACACAGCTATATTTGATACAATACTTTAAAATCTTGACCTTCCTGCTCCCAAAGTTTAAGTTCCTGGTGACTTCTCTTCTGCACATAATGAAAAAGATTCGACCAAAATTTTAGTTACGAGCTCATTCAAGATTTAGGACTCTCAAAATTTTAAAGACTTAAATTATATTCTAAAGCTAGTTCACTCTTGCAAAAATATCAATACACACTAGATATAGTGAGAATCTTAGAAAATGAAATGCAATTTACTGAATTTCAATTTCAAAGATTCGTGAAGTGAAGTCTGATATCTCTCTCCAAATTCTTCGATAACTATACAATTTTAGGACTTTTCTCTAGCCTTCAACAGATGGCACTACTTACGTAGTTTAGACAACACTAAAGTATGTATTCATTTTCATCAGCAGCTGCTCTGAATTAAAGGTATTATGACATTTTCCTTACAGAACATCTAGATGGTGCCCTGCTTGACACTACTTGATTCCGACACTGCTACCAGTCTAGACAACTATAGCAGTGGCAAAGCACCACAATTTTTTTTCCCCTTCAGATCTTTCTCATACGGAGAACTTCGACATCCGAATTCTTCAAATATCAGGCTCTACATAGGATTCACGGAGGCTCTGGTAATAAGAGGAAAAATTCTCTTGCTGAAAGACAAAATAACCACAAAGCATCAAGCACTCAACTTTCTACCTACATACATAAATATTAAGTACTTTCAGAATTGTTTAATATTCTGAAATTTTAAGGAAACCAGTAGCTTGGTTAACTAAACTTGATTCTATGTGAGACTGTCAGGTGACTGATCCTCATCTCTGAGGAAAAGCAACTCAGAAGATTTAAGCAAGCCTTTTTATTAAAACTTAAACCTAACAGTTATACAGGTCATGCTTATAATTCAATCTCCACTGCTTGCAACATTTAAGCTAGCATAAAAGTATCAAGATAAAATTAAAGTATTTAATGCTTCAATTCATAAAACAAATTCCTATTAGCTTTGGCTGAGAATTTAAAAAGTGTGAGCAAATTCTACTAGCTAAAGAGTAATCTTGGTCTAAAGTAATTCTCCCAGCTAGGCGAAGCTCGCACTTTAATATCAAGAACTTCGTTCTATCTTACTTTTAAATACTTCCAGCTAATTTGCATCCTGCTGTCTAACAACAGGACAGGTTTTGATAAAAGTTTTAACTTTAAAACAAAAAATTTTTAACTTTTATCAATGGCAAGGAAAACTATGTAATCTATCAGATGCAGCATTTTGCAGAAACATTGCATTTTTATCTCATATCATGACAAAACAAAACAAAAATTAAATATTTGTCTTCAAGGTAAAAAGAAGCATGTATATGAAATGCGGCAAAAGATATAAATGTTTAAAAAAAATTAACATTTTTCGAAACACTGGACTCTCATTCAGATATACAGATGGACGACAAAATAATGTGAACACACGTGAAAAAGTATGACATATTTCACACCTGCAACAGAAGTCTGCCACTTAGTGAGCGTGAACAGGAAGATATCAGTCTCTCAACAGCAGTCACCTGCGTTGCATGCTTCAATCGAACAGTCTGTGAAAAATTGAAATGTCAGACCTGTCAGAGTTCCAAAGAGGAATGATAGTTGGAGCACATTTAAGTGGAGCATCGGTTACGGAAACAGCAAGCCTTGTGGGGTGTGCAAGGCATATGGTATCAGCCGTTATGACAGCGTACACGAAAGAGGGTAAGACAACATCTTCAAAGCACAACAGTGGCCGAAAGTCAAAGCTGGCTGATAGGGACAGACGGGTCTTGAAGCGCATAATAGCCTGAAAGCATAAGCAATTGTTATCAGAGATAACATCCAAAGTGAACTGTCATCTCCAGGACCCCGTTTCAACAAAAACTGTTCATGTTGCGAACATTTATGGCAGAGTGGCAATTCGTAAACCCTTGGGTGACAACAACTAATGCTTTCAAGCGACGGCAGTGGTGCAGAGATCACAAAGGCTGCCTCCAACAGCAGTGGCAACAGGTAATATGGTCAGATGAATCGTCATTCACCCTATTTCAGACGACCAGACGCGTTTCTGTCTGGAGAATGCCCAAAGAAGCCTTTCATCCTGACTGCCTTTTGCCGACTATGAAGCATGGGGGTGGTGCCATTATGGTATGGGGTGCGATATCTTGGTGCGGTCTTGGGACCTTGTTATTCTGCATAGAAGGATCACATCAAAACACTATCTAAGCATTCTAGGGGGGACCACCAGCGGCCGAGCTTTAAAGACACTGAACACTGGTAGTTTGGTCCGAGGTTGAATCCCGCAAACGGGCTGGCTGCATGGGCGTTTTCGTGGTTTTCCCCATGTGTAATGTGTATACGAGCCAGTTTCCCTTAGAAAGTCCTCCACGAAGGCATCCCTCCCTTTAGGCAGATAGCCCTTGTGTGCTTTGCCATAAATAAATAATTCAATCCAATCCATTCTAGGGAATCATGTCCTCTTCTTTTGTCCAGATTGTATTCCCTGGGAGTGACTGCTTTTTCAAGACGACAATGCCCCTATTCATACTGCTAGGTATATTTAAGAATGGCTCGAAGAGCATGACGATGCAATTGAACATCTCGCCTGTTCTCCTCAGTTTCTGGACTTGAATATT